GATATTATTTAGACATTTTAGAATTTCGATATTTTTTTAGTATTTCGGCGGACTAAATATCAAATCTCGAAATATTTATATAAACTCAAAACAATTTCGGCTAACAACATTAATTTGAACCCAATTCGGATTCAAATGAACCCAAACCAGGTTCATTTAAACCCCAATTCGGGTTCAAGTGAACCCAAGCCAGGTTCATTTGAACTCAATTCGGGTTCAAGTGAATCCAAGCCAGGTTCATTCGGGTTCAAGTAAACCCAAGCCAAGATTATTTGATCCTAATTCAGGTTCAAGTGAACCCAAGCTGGGTTTATTTGAACCCAATTCGCCGATCCTAACTGTTTTTGGAAATAATTAACCGTAATTCGGGCCACAACTATAAGATCGGCAAACGGCTCACATCTATAATTTAAACCCAAGCTGGGTTCATTTAAAACCTCATACCTGGGGAATCTCCTGGACCCGTAGAGCTAGCTTACTGCATAAATTCCGTGTCCCTGCCTGGTACAAAAAGTATTAGATGTGATTTCGTATGTGATATATAGTGACGTAATTACGTAGTATTTTCGAAAAAATTTCTTGTATTTAGAACTTGTCTAAGTTAGGCTAGTACGGTTTTTTCAAGTGTAACGAACACATGCGTGAAAAATAAACAAAATTTGATGAATAAGTCATGCGGACCAATCAAACTTAAGGTTTTGCGGACGGATATCGCTTCAAACACGGTATGCGCTTTTTATATTCTTCGATCACATATTACTATTAACCAGTACTCATTGCATTCGTCACTGGTATATCACTCCGCTCCTGGTATAGATAAAAAATATTTAAAATTTCCAGCTTCAACCATGACAATTATTTTTATAAAAGAAGAAAAAAAATTAATGATTTAGCTTATTTGATGGTTACTTATATCCCTCGGTCCTTGGGCTAACTCCTCAGTATCACATGACCGAAAATCCAAGTCAAGGACATGTGGTTTATTAGACAACCAGGGGGCTAGAGGGATTTATTAGTCAAAGCCCGGTCTCGAACCCGCAATTATTCGAACCCGCGGTTATTCGAGTAGCAACATGGTGCAATAACCCGTTACGACACATCATAATAAACTAAAATTTTTTAGATTTAACTCTTTAAAAACATTATTTAGTGCTACGATAAAAAAAAATTTTTTACGTACCGTATGTACGTACGATTTATTTACAAGAGTTATACATCTTTTCACCTTATTCTGACTACTCAACCCCAAAAAAACTCATCTCTTTTAGGTTATGCTAATGTCAAATATGTTAAAGGAGATGAGTTTTTAATAAAACTATAAAATATTTAAAAATTTACAAGCATAACAAACTAATTAAAAATATTTTTTCATAAATACATTTTCGTATAACACCCTACTTCCGGCGATCGTTTACGCAAAATCCACCTTAGGAAACCTCAAAACATGCATTAACGGCGCTTGTAGAAGATATTTCAGGCTACTCGAATCTCAAGATTGGCGCAAAACGGACGAAAACTCACGGAGTTGTGATGTTTTTTGTGAAAATTACATGTTCACGTTTTCGCAGATATTCGTGCAACTTTGAGTAATCGAAACAGCACTTTACCGAAATGAAACACGCAAACATTCATTATTGACGATGGTGAGGTAAGTGTTCAGTTGCCTGTGTTTAAAATTTAAGCTAAAACGGACGAATACTCACGAAACGGGAGCGATTTTTCATTTTTCTTTGAGAGACGTTCTTATCCGTGATGAAGTTGCGGCGCAGTTGATCAAACGACCCTTGATTTTTTTTTTCGTCAAGTCAATCTCATACTGCGCTTTAAGAAAGTTGATTGAGGACACTTACGAAATTTTTCCTGCAAAGTTTAATGACGTTTGGTTCAAAATTTGTAAAATCATCACATTTTTTCGTTCGATTAATTAATATTTAATTATTAATAAATTTTAATAGTTTTTATTTTAATTAATTGGAATCTTCTAAAGAATCTTTCGATATAAATTAATAAACTAGATAGCTGCGTGACGTCGTCGTGCAAAACCAGGAATGGAAGTTCTAAGCAGAGGACAGAATCAATACATTTGATACTATAAATTTACACATAATTATGATGAATTTCAGCACTAACGAGCTTTATTAGAGAGCTATAGCATACATAGTGCGTTTGATGTATAATTGGCATTAGCCAATGGTTTCCCACCCGCATAAATGCAGGCCAGCTGATAGCCAGAAGTAGTGCTCCTAGGTCACGTAGAATTGTTTGGTTTTCGCCTCACCCTTCAAAGTTGTTGTCGGGACGATATTCATGGTAAATAACACTGTAGTCAGAGTTGGGTAATCTATATATCTAATGCTTTTTTACTGGACACTGGACATTTCCGAATTGCCAGTGCCCAGTGATATAGTTGTAATAACGTTATAAAATATTGTTAATAAAATTATGCTTTTCAAACTACTGTAACTCTGAAGATTATCTATCACAAAGAAATCCGAAATTTCAAATTACTTTGTTATAAATCAATCTAATTTTTTTTTTTTTTAAGTTACAGTAATTTGAAGGTTGTCGCACAATTCCCGAAAGTTATTTCCTTGAAGGACAATTACCCGACATTACATAGAGTTAGAGTTAGGGTTAGTATTTGATTAGTTGCAGCTATACATTTTTTTAGCAGATTGTCACCCTGTGTGATGTCGGGTAAGTGGCCTATTGGGAAATAACTTTCGCCGTAACTTAATTTGAAAGCAGGTAATTTATGTTGTAATTTTCAGTAAATAGTATTAAATTCTAAATCTTAAAATTTGATTGGCACCTAGCAATTTGCTATTTAATTTGACTAAATTTAATGTTAGGCGGGCACTTTTACAAGGGATACTATTAGCCGAAATTAAGGTATTGCCCAGTGTCTATTTTTCTTAATCCATTGCTTTTTACTAGACAGTTCGGACACTGGACAGATTTCCAATTGCCCAATTGTCCAGTTGTCCAACCTTGACTAGTATTTTGAATTATGTTTTAGGTTATTCTTAAAATCTGCATTGTTGGTATGTATTTGCACGAAAGGTGGAGGGAACAGAATACCTTAACATTCCCTTATGAGAGACAAAATCTTTGATCATATGTTACACCTCAATAAAAAATTATAAAAAAAGGTGGCCCGTCAATTTATTTTCCCTGCATGTCAGATTATTTTCGAAATAATAAAAAGATCAATACTTAATTCGTACGTACCTGAACTATTTAACATTGCTAAATCAGACCATTAAGATCAGTTGTTTATTCATCCGTTCCTGGTTTAGCGCGACTGTGTCACACAACCTTTTAATTATACTGTATCAGTACGTATAATTTTTTTTTGATGCATCGAACATCACACAAATCCAAATTCGGCGGGGTACCCTGGAGCGTTATACATATCTATTTTGTTTGAGAGATCGAAAAAGAGAAACTTACGTTTTAGGAATATTACACATAAATTTACACTCACACCATGTGCTGAATTAGTTCATCAAGATTTATATTATCGTTAGATTTTATTTTTTTGATTCTAGGCTAATAGTCTTATACCGTATTTTCGTGAAATAACGCGTAGGGGTATATTTCAAAATTTGGCTCAAATTAAACTTAATTTGGGCCAATATTTTAAATAACGCTCATGAGCGTTATTACGCGAAAATACGGTATATTTCTGGTTGGAGGAAAAAACAAATATAAGTTAAATTACAATAAAACACATTAGGACAACATATTTTCATGGCGTTATATTAAAATCATTAGTAGTGTAATTACTATAGGAGTTTGTTACTACTGTACAATTAATGAAGTAATGATATTTTTTTTGAACCAGCTTCGCTTGCAAGATACATGATTACTATTGAACTCGATTAAAATAACTCTGTTATAAGCGTGTGATACTAAATAGGTAAGGTAAACCTTTGCTCTGCGCCTTGATTCTTTTATCGCGTATTTAATTATCCAGTAGAATGATTTTACCAGTAATTTTAATGTTAAACAATTGCGGATAGAATTTACTGAATTTGGTACTGTTAAACAATTATTTATTGTTGCCTCTTTGTATATTATGACAAACATTCTTTTTTATTTGCTTTTTTGTATGACTAACGATACGTATAGGAAATTACAATCAAATTTCGATCATTAATCAAAAATATTAATATTGAAGAAATCCTGTATATGGCAATTCCATAAGGTTCTTTAAGCAGTCAAGTTTGTTTGTAACGGTAGAGTGATTATATAATATAATTGTAATTTTTCCGATAAATAACAAATTATAAAGAAGCAATACAGGAGAAATCTATTAATGTATCCAAATGGATCTTTTTTTATTATATATATTTTTTAGTAACATTAAAAATAAATTGACATTACATATTAATTAATATTAAGTTATATTATATACGATATAATTTTGAAATTTATATGAATTTAAAGAATTTTAATAAGGAGTAGGTCAGAAATATTAACCCTATATATAATATATATACTGTATATATATATTATATATAATAGAAAATTAATTACAAAAGATTGTAAATTTATCTAACAGTTTTCATGAATATAAAACATTGCACTTCCGAAAAGTGCACAAATAAATAAATTTACAATTATTGAAAAAAAATGAATTACTACATACAGTAACTACATGCATCAAAAAAAAAAGAAAAAAAACAAACAATTCTACAATGAATTAATATATCTACCGAAAAAAAGTTTCATATACAGAAAAAACAAAAGTTTACACTAAAAAGCAAGGCATCTGATCAATTTATCTTTCATCTAGATATAAAAGATATTCGAGCGATACCAAGCGAGTGAATTTATAATAATATACCAAGAAAAAATGCCGGACAAAAAATTTACACGAAAAAAGTTTATCAAGTCATGTGACTAAATGTTAAATTTGCAATGGAGGTGAATTGACTCCCTTCAAGAGTTTATTCAGTACAATTTGTGAACTTTCATGGCCGAGTTTAGCTGACTTAGAATAATAATGAATCGCCATATCTACGTTCTTTGATGTTCCAGTACCCTGAAAACAAAGAAAAATAAAAGATGAAGATTATAAACGAATATAAAAATTATAATATAAATGAAAAAAGTACCTTTTCATAACAATCAGCAAGAAAATGCATTCCGACCATATTTCCTTGCCTCGATGATTTTTTATAGTAATTAAAGGCTTTATGATTATCTTTCTCGGTACCTTTTCCGAATTCGTAACAATAACCAACCCAATTCTGACCATTAGTACATCCACCTTCTGCAGCTTTTTGGTACCATTGAAACGCAAGTTTTTCATCGGATTTCGTTCCAGAACCCGACGAATAGCATTCACCAAGCAAATATTGAGCAATAGGATAGTCCTTTTTTGCTGCCGCAAGATACAAAACATACGCCTTTCTGGTATCTATTTCCGTGCCAATGTCATGTAAATAAAAATATCCAAGGAGAGTTTTGTATTGCAGCGTATGTTGGTTACTTAATAACCATTCTAGGACTTCTACAGAATTGGTATTTCGCTTTTTAATATGGTCCAAAATCATTTTTATAATTACAGTATCATCTTTGCCAATTTGTTGAGCTTCAACGAAAAGTTCTACTATTTCATCAGCTACCCTTTTTTTAATTGCATCTTTAAGTTTATCACGATGGTTAGAATGTTGAGGGATAATAATGCTTCTTCTTTTCATTGCACTCATAGGAGGTTTGGCAATGTCAGACACGGAGGCTGAAGTCACTGCGGTCATTTGTACTATTGTATCAAGAAAGTGATTGAAGTTTTAAATAGAAAGTATAGTGACAAAAAAAACAAATTATTGAAAGATGAAAGAAATAGAAAAGAAAAAAATATAGAAAATGTTTATTGATATAAAAAAAAATTCGTAGATACTTGGGGGTGATTAATAAGATTTTGATTAATCACACCATATTGATGTACAAGTTATATTTATTGCATAATTTGAGACACGCTGTTATACAAAATTTAAATTGAAATCAGAAATGGAATTAAGAATTTTGTGAATCACTTATCGTTACACGTTAATTGTTTATGATCAATGAACGATGAGTCATACTCGTAAAAAGTCAGGAATTGATATTCCAATTATGGAAAATTTTTCTGAATTTTTACGGGAATAAGGTTCCAACCGATATATATTTGTATTAATTACACTGTTTTAAAATGACACTGTAACTACTGAACAAACTTTAAATGACACATTACTACTGAAAAACCCCAACTTTCGGAAATTTTTGGGGAAATAAATTTAATGTGCAAGCACTTTGAATTTTTTGGGGATAAAATTATTATTTAGTAAATGTAGATGCGCAGATGTGTTCATCTATGAGTTGTCTGATTGCTTGTATGCCTGTGTGACATTGGTAGTTTACGCGGGGCAAAAATCTTAGGCAGGTCAACGGTAAAGGAGTATTCTATAATTAGGATAGTAAATAATATCCCGATTGGCTGATAACCCTTTTCAAAGCCTTTGATGGTAAAGTAGCGCTCTGGCTTTCGACTAGCATAAATGTGTATTAGCATCGCATGGACTTTAAATCTCGAATGACATTTCAGCATTTCCCGATTTCGTGTAAGCGTATGTATTTGTTATTTATTTGATTGGGTCAATCTTAAATAGGTGCATCTTTACTATTTTGATATTAAACTACTCCTGCAGAATAGCGTAACCAACCACTGGCGCCCGTAAGCACGTTCGTAGATATGCTTAATATTAACGATATTTGATATGTACTTACGTACTTTTGTACTTACGCTTAATATCTGACACATAACATACATAACATTTAATAAAATATGAAACTAGGACAAGGAATAACGCTAAGTCTATTTATCAAAATAAGAAATTACTCCTTGGTGCTGCATGTAGCACGGAGGGTTCGGGTTCCTATTCGGATATTGGCATTTTTTTTATTTTTATTTTTTTTTAGAATCACATATCCGATATTGTGAGCTATGCAACCTACTCTTATTATAGTAAATCATCCGTTAATAAAAATTAGTGTTAGAATAAATTTTGTAATAACCGAGAATTTACAATAAGGTGTGACATCTGCAGATCGTGATATCATAGGTGCATAAACAAAGTCCAAGCAAATCATTGGACATGGAAGTCGTGGACAATGTCGACAATGTCCATTGTCCATTCCACATGATCATCATGCGGCAAGTAATATATATGGACAAATGTCCAATAAAATTATCAAACATGAACATGTGTCCATAGGCCAAGCATCTTATTGTTGAATAAAATTTTACTTTGAAAAATTTTCTACCGTTTTACAATTCCCAACAGCCCACATCACAAAAACAATTCTAATTGAATGTATCGAACTGGATTTGAAACCAATTAGAATTGATATTGCAGCGTACAACATATGTTTATTGACTTGAAAACAATGTTATCTACGATATAGATTCATTAAGCTCAAAGTATATAACGTTATAGGGTTGGACATTATTTTGTTTGTCCATGGACATGGACTGTCCATGTTCAATGCGTGGACAGCACTGGTCATAGAAATCACAAGAAATCAGCAGATTCCAATTTTAAAGGTCTCGAACAAAATATAGATAGATGTTGCCAATATATACTTCATCGAGTGGGATCTTTTATCACAATGCGATTAATAATGCTTATTGCCTCCTTGTTATTCATGTCTTTTCCTAAATAGTGAACAATATAAACTAATCTGATAATCACCTTTATTATGCTAAAATATACAGTATATAGATCTAAAATTCGCGATTCATATTATTTCAATGCACATCTTCACAAAATATTAATATACATTAAGCAAAACTTTATTTGTATATACTGTATTAAAAAATACAGAGAGATGGCTTGTAGCAGGTAGGGATTGCAACTTAGTATTAACCGTGATTCAGTCGCATTAAAGTTGCCTCACCCATCATAATTCGGCCCAGCATATACGGTTAAACGGTTCCAATCCCTAGTACATTCGATAAAATTGTATAATATGTTCCAGTACCAGAAGTAAATAGTATAAACCATCGTTACTTTAATCGGTAGATTGGTAGAATGTAAAATAAAGATAACTTTGTATTGAATATGTATAAGTCTAGCATTGATAGTACTTTTCAAATTACTGTGATCAGCAGATAATCGCCTATCACACGGAAATCTGCACTTTTTTATGAATAAATCTAATTAACATTTTATAAACTCAAGATTCCCATTATATCTCGATTCTGCAGTAGTGCATAAAAATTGGTAGTTGGTATTGTCGAAATAATATCAAAGTTCCTGCTAACAAAATAATAATATATATATTGATATTATTTTGTCATAATAACTACCAGATCTAGTGTACTTCTATAAGTGATGCCGGAGAATCGAAATATGTGGGGAATCTTGAGAATTTTTTATTCAAATTACTGGAATCTGCAGATGATCGCGGAAATCTGAAAATTTTGGCAAATTTTGGCACTTTTTCATTATAGCGCTTTGCAAAAAGATGTGACCCCATGATTTTTGGGATGATGAATGAGGAAAATTTCCGAGATTCTAAATTGTCTATTAATTCATATTTCTATCAGTTATATTATATTTACCGGTATTTGAAATTGGTAACGTTCTTAAAATCTACAGAATCTCCGATTTCACGACATTGTGATCTGCAGAGGTCACAAAGCGCAATAATAAATGGTAGAAATAAAAAATTCACAAGATTCCCCACTATATTTCGATTCTCCAGCATCACTTCTAGTAGTACACCAGATCTGGGAGTTATTGTGATAAAATAATATCAAAATTTCCGAAGAGAGATATATATATTTTTTGTTAGCAGGAATATTGATATTATTTCGACAAACTACCAGAATCGAAATATAATGAGATCTTTCTAACATGTTAATTAGATTTATTATGGCGGTTTGTAAAAAGATGTGACCCTGTGATTTCGTGATGATGATAGCGGAAAATTTTCTGAGATTTTAATTCCCTATTTTCAACATATTTTATTCGAAATCTAGAATCGGCAGATTTCTCGTGATGATCTGCAGAGGTCACACTAGTGTTCCGGCCCGGGTCGGGTGACCCGTACGGGTCACGGGTCAGAAATTGCTCTGACCCGGGTCAAACGGGTCAAGATTCGGGATAGGAAAAAAAAATTTTTTTACAGCTATTAAGTTAGTGATTTCGGCATAATCCATTATATAATAAAAATAATAAAAGCTATTTCCAATTATTATATAACAATAATGTCAACGTTATTAAATTTTCGCTCCAACGCCTGCCAAACATGCTTGGTATGTTTAGTTTACACGAAATTTATAGAAAAGACTGCTCGTATCAACCAATAAACCTTACTTAGCAAGAAATATAAAAAAGGGACAGGATATAAATTAGACTTTTATAACAAATATATTACACGAACATGTGCTACTATTAAAAAAGTTAACTATGATCATGAATTTGTCGACTGGTTTAAAAATGAATCTCAGGTTAGGATTCCTAGCAAGAAGAATTATCAAAGTAAAAAATTTTATATGTTCATATATTTATATATTTATATATTGAAAAATTTTAGTACTAACGATTAAAATTAGTTCAAAAATGGGATCTAAAATTAAAAAAGGCTTCGTTCGTTTGAACGAAAATGGATCTTACTAAAGAATAGGAATTTAAATTTTAAAAACTAAATTTTCGTCAAAAATATTAGAAATTAATAAAGGCTTCGTTTGAGCAAAATGAATCGTGCCAAAGAATAGGAATTGAAATTTACGACTTACAAGTGCATGTCGATATTTGTAATATATATTCATTATCTGATCTTATTAAATTGCGTATCTGATATATCTGTTACTGAATCTTATTAACCGAATCGTCGAAAAATCATTCGGCTAATTTTTATCAGGTGTTTCAGGAATTATGATAATAGCTGTAAGTGTTTTTAACCCTTTTTTTTTTAAAAAAAGGATGATACTATATAAATTCGAACTTATTAGCACTTGTAAAAGATGAAAAATTCGATGTGCCGAATGGCACTATTCGACATCCCTTTCAATGCTCCATTCAGCTTGTCACATGATTTTACGTCCATGAAGTCATGAATTCAGGAATGGCGCATGTCAAATGGCATTCGAATAGTGCCATTCGGCACATTGAATTTTTATTTTTTACCAGTGTAGTGTAGATATTACTGTATTACATAAAAAAAAATTTATTTGATCAATAAATTTATTTGAAGTCCATATGACCCGTTGACCCGGGTCATGACCCGGGTTAAATGTCTGACCCGTCGGGTCACTATTATCTGACCCGGGTC